GGGGCTCGGTGACACTCACTTCCCCAGCGGGCAAGGTGCTCTTCTCAGCAGAAGCAGGCAGGGTAGCCCAGCTACATTTCTGTCTCTGCTAAGAGGCTGTCACCCAGACCTGACGTCATCAGGACCATCTGGGAGCTGGAATCTGGAGAGAGAGAGAGGGAGAGGGAGAGCTGGAGAGCGCAGAGCTGTGTGCCAGATCCAGAGGGCAGGATGAGGAATTAGACCGCTGCGGGGTGGGAAGCAAACTGCTGAGAGGATTGTGAGATTAAGTAGTAACTAGGTCTCCTCTGGCCGTGTAGCAGAACAGAATCGATGTTTGGGGAAGGAAGGCAGCAGAGACTGCAGTAAGAGCCCAGGGTGGGGCTCTGCATTTGTTATCTTGGCTGTCAAAAGGCAGATTGGCTCTGAACCCTCCCCCTATACACTTGCAGGTGATACTGACTACCCAGCCCTGTGCAGACCTTCAAATCTGCACTCACCACTTATTTTTTCAGCTAGAGAGACCACGTCCAGGTGGGATGGGCTGGCAGGCTGCAAACCAACCAAACCCACGTAGGGTGGTAGTGGTGTTGCCTTCCCAAGAGCAGGGAAAGCAGTGGGCAAGCTGCCATTTTGTGGCAGCAGAGGCCTGGAAATCCTGACTTTCTGTGCTGCATGAATGGAGGGTTTGTGCAGCCCTCCCCTGCCTGCATCAGGAAGGTGAAGGCAGCTTGCTGGCTCTGCGATGGCACACAGTGTCAGCCAGGAACACTGTGACTCTCTCCACACAAAGTGAATCAGCTGGAAGGAGGATGGGCATGCATAGTAAGTAAGAAACTCAGCAGTATAGCAGTTTTTCATCCAGAAGCCTTTTTAAACAGAAAAAAAAAATAAAATTGCTTTTTCATGGATGTGACAGAGGGGAAGATTGTTAGTGACCATGTCCTTCAGACCCAGAGTCCTACACATTCAAAACTGCTGCATAGTATCTCTAATTTGGGGATCAATTTCTGGAAACTGGATCCAAAACTTGGTCAGAACTGTCAGTAATGGATTTTCATGGCTCTAATAAATGGGAATCCAGATGTTTTGAGGCCCAGGGTGTGGTTGTGCTTGCTGCTGCTAGTCTAATATGAGAATTGGGAGGGGGGAAGGACAACTAAAGGTAAAAACCAACAAACCAAGCCAGTGGGATCACAATCTAGGCATGACAATGTGCAGTATCATATATGCAAACATTAGACAACAGGCTACTGCTATCACTATAATACACCTTTTTCTACTACAAGCAATAGACAGGCTGTGACACCTGGCTAACCCTTCACACGTTTGGGATGCAGAGATGGGAATTGCTGATGCTGTGCATATTGCAGAGAGGTTCTGGAAGCAGTGAGGAAATTACATGAGTTTTGGCTAGGTTACCTGGCAAAGGCCCCCAGCATCTTTAAATGCTCCTGCCCTTGAGTTTTAAGGCTTTGCACAAAGATTTCACTCCTGCAGCATCAGAGAAAATGCCTTTGAGGCACCATTTCTACTCTTAGCAGCAGCCGCATTGCCCTTGGAGGCTGCCCGTCCAAGTGCAGCTCAGCCCAACACTGACATGAAGGTCACACCTGGAGGCTGCCTGGATTCCAGTTCACAGGGAGAAGGGGCAGACCCCCCTCACCAACACACCAGGAGAGACCAGTGGTGCTGGAAATGCCCCAAACACCCCAATTCCTGCCCATCAGCCCCTGACCACAGCCCAGGTCCCAGAGCTCTTACTGTTCTGGCAGATCCAGGGGTTCTTCTCCCTGGCTGTGACTTCACGAGCCTCCGTCTCTTCCTCTTCCTCACCCTCCGAGAGCAGGTCAGAGATCTGCTGCTGTAGCTCGGGACTGATGTTGTTCTCTGCCAGGATGAGTGTCCGTAGGGCTGTGGGGTAATTCTCTACCATGTCCAGCAAGGTCTGGGCAGAGAGTGAGATAAACAGGCTGACAAGCAGCACAAAGAGCAGCTAGGCTGAGCAGAAGGAGCTTCAGTGCTCTGTCTGCCTGCAAACTCCAGCCCTCCTCTTCTTACGTCTACCTTCCCTTGGCTTTGACTCCCCTTTGCCAGGCTTTCTGCAAGCCTGAGGACCTCTCATCTTTCTGTGGGAAGAGCTGTGCCCAGATTTCCTGGCAATATCTAAAGAAGAAGGGACAGCTCTAAATCCCCGTTGCTGCCACATATCCAGACTAGTCCCCTCTTACTGCTGGGAGCTGGGGCTGTGAGAGGAGAGCCTGTGCTACCAAGCCTTGGCCCCTATCTGTTCACAGAGCACTAGCTCTGATCTTCAGTCACAAGTCCAACCCCCTTTCTTCTTTCCAGAAAGCCAGACTACAAATAGAGCCACGTGTTTCTCCTTGCTGATGTGGGAGATCCAGGAGCCCTAGCTTAGAGCTGTGCCTTACGAGCTCCTCCTGTGGCTGAATGTAACGGGCCAGGGGAAAGCAGCAGCACCCCTGGGTGCAGGGAAGGAAGGGGGTACATGTGGAATGGAGGAGTGGGGTGGAGACAGGTGTAAGTCCTAGACCCCTGTAGATGGCCAAGACCTATGCCCCTGAGATGTCAGTGATGCTGTAGAGTAACTATAGGCTCTCATACCTGGGCTGACTGGTTGGTAAGTCCTGTTCCCTCCAAGTCCAGAACTTCAAGAGTTCGACTGGAGGCCACAGCGACGGCAAGCATCCCTGCTACCTGGTCACCTGTGGGAGAAGAAAACAGGGGCTTCAGCAGTGCCTGTCTTCCCTCATGTAATACCACATGTCCTCGTGGGCCTGGGGCTGTCACAGGAACATCCTCCGAGTATTTCTGCCATCAGACAACCTCCAGATCTCAGTTACCTTGGAGAGGAAGAAAAGCAGTTAACTGAGAAGAGAAACAAGGTAAAGGGGCACCATTTTCTGGTTATGGGAGTAGTCGCTGATTATCAGAGGGAACACGAAGAAACACAGTGAAATTTTTTTTATTCCCCAAGGAACCACATCTTCCCAAATCTCCTGCCTACTCAAGGATACAAGTGCCTTTAACAGTCCCTATAAGATGCAGATTAAGGAGCTGAATACCTCAGTCTAGGGAGAGGTTGGAGCCAGACAGAGGACTATGTACCAGCTGATGGAATGCCTCCCTGGAAAGGAGGTAGACTTTTAGGGGTGGATACAGTAGGACCAGGTGCATTAAAGATTGATGCTGGTGAAGAGACAAGATTTCAGCATGTTCTCCTGGCATTCCTTGGTGAGTACCAAGATACTGTACAACTGTGATACCTTCTCTTGAAAAAAAGCCCACCAGACATGTCAGGTAACATGCTGTGGCCTTTCCTGCCCAAGAGGAGGTACCTGGTCAGACAGACAGGGGCTGGAGGCAGGCTCTGTTTCTAGATGGGGCAAGGAGGGAAATGCCCTGCTGATGCTCAGGGAGGCATGGCCTGGTCTCCTCATCACCTTGCAGCAGAGATGGAGAGAGTTGGTTTCTATGACAACAAGTGCCAGGCTCTCCTACTCCTCCCTGCTCTGCCAGAAAGATGAAGGGGGGGGGGGAACACACTGAATCTGCCAAGCCAGCATCAGCACCCGAGTCTTCAGGAACAGGGGAAACATGGAGGGTGAAACATGATGACAAAGGCAGTGGAGCAGCCAAGGCAAAACCTCCTTTCTGCATCTCCCTGCAGGGCATGTGGCCACCTCACACAAGCAGAGCAGCAAGGCTGGCTTCCCTACAGCCGGGGGCACCTGGCAGGGTGAACTCACTGCTGAGAACCAGTAGGGACCTATGAAAGAAACTGCCCCATCCTGCTGGTGATGTTTTACCACCTTTCTAGAACTCAGTCCTCAGCCACTCACCAACACAAATCACTGAGGCAAGAGTGCAGCAGCCCCTGCTCCTCCTCCCTGCCCCCCCAGCTTACCTAGGGGGTTGTAGTCCAGGTTGAGCACACGGAGCTGTGAGCTGTGAGCCACTGCAATGGCCAGGCGTCCCCAGCCTTTGCTTGTGACGCCTGGGTTAGCGCTCAGCGTTAGCTCCTTGAGGCCTGGAGAAGAGAGAGAAGGCAAACCAGAGCCTTAGGGTCACAAAAGCAGTCACAGGGGAAATAGTTCAGCTAACCAGAACAGCTTTGAGTGGTGTCCCCTGTACTCCAATGGGCTGAAGGGTTTGCTTTGCACTGACAACTGTAATCACATACTTCACTGATCAGTGATACATTTCACTGCCTTCAGCAGCATCCCTTCACTTGCCTGTGCTGTGACTGCCCCATTTCTCTCCTCCCCCAGCCTGTGTCCTCCTTACCCTAAATAGAAAACACAACAGAAACAAGTAAGGAGTGTGCAAGGCAAATGACCAGAAGGAGGAGGTGGTACAAGGTGGCAGGTTGAAAAGAGGGTAACAGGCAGAGCAGGCTCTGAAGCCTGCACCTGGGAGAGGTTTCCAGCAGAGACAACAGCATCAGTGGCACCGTGAGCACACAGAGAAGAAGGTGCTGGGGAGACATGGAAAGCATTTTGAGAGTCAGAAGAGAGGGGTGGTGTTACCTCAGCAAACTCCAGCTCTCAGCTTAATCGGCCCACTGGCCTCTGACTAACAAAGATCACTGCCTGCAAACATCTGGGTCTTGGCCCTAGGTCTATGACCATGTAACTACACACTCACAGAATGCACCCACAAGCAAAGACAATTCCCAGGCACTGACAATAAAGCCAAGTGCTGAGGTGGAGACACACCATATATTTCTCTGCAGTCATTATCTACAAAACAATGCAAAATACTCAATTTAACGTCCGAACTGTTCCCTCCTCCAGTTTCAAATGCTCCTGTCACGAACCAGAAGTAACCTGTTGGTCCCTGAGCTCCAAACTGCCAGCAGGACGGATCAATATCTGAAAGCCCGTGCCTGCCCAAGGAAACTGCTCCTCTTATTGCTTGGCTTTTCTGCTTTGCTTAAGTTAGGACATGAAATTCCTCATCCCAGACAAACTACAGAGCCTGCCTCCTCCAGGGCTGAAGATGTACTGCTGCATGAATCTGCTCCACGTGGAGGTCCTTGTGCAGCCCACGACCCCCGGTGCTTACCGGACTTGGCCCCGTCAGGCGGCAGGAGCCCACAGATCAGGTTGATGCCTTCATCACCCAGCATGCAGTCTCCTAGGTCCAGAGCCACCAGCGAGGGGTGGATGGAGAGGGCAGGGTTGAGGAGGGCCAAGCCTGCATCTGTCAAGGGACTCCCATGGAGGCTGTGCAGGTAAAAGGAAAAATTACTAAGCAGCCTTTTTTCCTAGGATCTAACTATCCCGGTGGGAAAAGGGAAGCAGATGAAATGAGGATGACAAATCCTGACCCCAGGTGGGGAAAAAAGCACCGAGAAGCCTCTGCTGCGAGGGTAACCCAGCTGCTACGGTGACCCTGCTCTCCCTGCGGGGACGAGGGGGTGCCAGGGATGCCAGCGGGGCGGGAGCAGCCCCTGCCAGCGGGGCAACGCAGGCTAGAGAGGTCGGGACGAAAAGCCGGCAGGGGCAGAGGCAGCTCCCTCCCAGCTGGGTGAAGGGCGAAGTGTTACCCTCTGCAACGTCAAGGGCGTTTTTCCTCCAACGAGAGGATTCAGCAGCTGGCCCGGAGCTGCGAGCTCCCCGAGGAGCCCGCCCGGCCCGGCAGGGGCACCCCCGGCCGCTCCCCTCCCCGCGGGACTCACAAGAGCGACTGGACGGAGCGGTTTGTCTTCAGGGCCTCGGCCAGCTGCTTGACGCGGTTGATGTTGGAGACGATGCCCAGGTTGAGGTTGAGCTGGGCCAGGGAGCGGGACTCGGCCGCCC